TATTGTTATTATTGTTATTATTACTACGACTACTACTAGTAGATAGATATGTAGTTGGATAGTTAGATAGATAGGGTTTCGATAGGATTAGCATTAAGTTTGGGTAGACTTGAGTAGCTTAGACGGTTAGATGAAAGGAGATCCGATTAGATGGGAAGTGCAGTTGCATGTGTCTGGCTGCATGTGCAACATCAACTGGAAGCATCAGAGAAGCAATGGCAGAAAGAGTGATACTGCAGAAGATTGCCTGCTTGCAACTTGTGGAATGCAGCAGCACAACATGTGCCCCCCCCCCCCCCCGTGGTCTCAGTCAGCAAGAGAGATCCGAGCGTGTTCATGATTTGGCTTCGAAGTGCTGCAGTTGCGCGTTGGCGACCCCGCCTTGACACAACCCTGCAGGAGGTGAAAGACCTGCTGGGCCGGGTAGAGGCCAGGACGGAAAGACGCCGTGCAAGCTTCACAATCACCTGGTGCACTGCTGCCCAGCCATTTCGGCAGGTTTTCGTTTTGGATGAGTTGGATGAGTTGCTTGGCTATCAAGTCGGCTTCAAGTTAACCTTGATGTCAATGCTCAAGAGCGCGGTCTCTCGTCGAGTCCATCCTAGGCTTTTGCCAAAGCGCAAATACGTCGGAAGGAAGCTGGCTAGGCCTGTGCTGCAGCGACACCGATTGCACAGGGAAGCGGCATGCTGCCGGAAGTGCGGTAGCATGGTGAGATTATGTGAGATTTTCAACAGGTAGCTGTGATGTCGATCCCTGCCATGCGTGCAGTGGCATGTCGGTGTCCACGGTCCGCGACAGGTATCAAGATCCTGGGATGTGGCCGGCAGAAGGGCTTGTGAAGCGTTTGATGAGGTCCCTTGCTCTTTGTGTGCAGTGCCACTGTGGCTGTTCAAGCAGAGCGAATCTGCTCTGGCACGTCAGGAACAACGAGCGAGAGACGCTTCAAGTGGTGGCAGCCTCCGCCACCGCTTATCGCTCAAGCCGGTTGAGGCGTCGATCCGTAGCTCTGTTTGCGCATTGCGGGGTAGTCGACGCTGTTGCCGCTGCTTCCTACATGGACAGGTTAGAGAAAGTGCTGAAACAAGACAAGCTGAAACGCTTTCCGATCCCACTGCCGCGACTGGCGGCTTGTCCAGATTTGACACCATTCTCCGTCGTTGAAGCTTCGTTGCTTGCCTGTTTCGAGATGAGGATCCGCAACGCAGCTCTGCTGCCAGCTTGGAGGCCGGATGAGAGCGTTTGCCGTGCAGTTTGCGTGCACATCTGCTGACAGGCGGCAGCAGCGGCACGTGGTGTCGTCGAGGACGCGTTCTGTAGGGCATAGGGTCTCAAGAATCAAGAAATACAAAATCGAAAGTGATGTAGACGTGGCTCGACCCACTCGGTCCCTCCTAGACTTCTGGGCGATGTAGAGATTTCAATCACAACCAGTCACGGGCAAGGAGACTCCACAGTGCCAATCTGCTCTAGGAAAATCCACATTCGGAAAGCAAAACATCGGCTAATCTAGGCCAAACATCGCCTTTGGGCTCCAACATGCTTTTTTCCAGGCGAAGACCTAGGTTCAAGTTCCGGAAATAATGAAAAGTGTTTTTTGCAGGGAGCGCTGTGTTCCAGACGTTTTAAGGTCCCTTCGGGCTTGTCGCTGGAATCTCGCACACAAGCACGTAGTGCATGGACACGTACAACACATCTTGCCACCCGACGCTAGAGCATTCCAACATCCTTCTAGAAATACAGTCCGATGTCGCTACTAGGATGATGAGGAAGAACGTCAAGCGCTTCTTGGATTGCAATTGTGCAGGCCTGCAGGTCATGAACGTTTTTTTTGAGACGATCGCATGACGGGCCTCGTCTCACGTCACGGACCACGTTGATCTGGCTGTTCACCACAGCATGTCAGGTTGGATGAAGAGGCCCGGGAGAAGCAAACCTATCGTGCACTCCCAGCAGCTCGGCAAGACTGGCTGACAAAGTAGTGAAATTACTCGAGCTCGTGCGGAGCAGCTGACATACCGTGACTGCCCCACCTGTTCTGGTACAGTCGCACACATTTCACCTGTGCAGCGTCTTTCTGGCAATGTATCGACTGAAATCCGCACTGTGTGTAGACATTGCATCGACAGCAGGACTTCCTGAAGTAATGTGCTGTCGTTTCAGTTGGGTCTTATTGCATTCTTAATGCAGTACTTCTTGGGATTGTCCCTTCAGTAGCTGAGTCGTGGCCAACAGAAAGTGTTCTTGTGTGCTCTCAGCAAGTGCCACGTTTGATTTCGGTTCGTCTCAATTTCTGGGATGGGTCTTGAACGCTTTCCGTTTCGTGCGGTTCAGAGCGGTCTCCGCTTCGGTGCGATGATCCGATCCGGCTTCATGGTGATTCAGTGAGTGGAGGAGGGAGTGCGCTCTGGGAGGACAGGAGTTGGAGAGAAGGGTGAGTTTTCAGATGCGGTTCGGTTTTGCGGGTCGCTTCGGATGTTCCCACGGTTCATGTGGGTGGACGGTTCCTGGCGGTTGGGTTGCAGTTTGCTGTTTGGTTCGGGGCCTTTCCGTCACCACAATACAATTACAGCAACATGGATATGCTAGACCTGCACTGCAGCTCCAGCTGCGCTGAGGCAGGCATCCAGCATTTCACTTGGAAGGCAGGCCAGTGAGCATACCAGCATAGTTCGTGCAGTCACTGAAGTCGGCGCGACCTGCTTGATGCGTGAGAATTCTGCTGTTTGCGTGGCAACGACAATGTGAAGCGTGTGAACTTGTCATGCATTGTTGAAGGTTCCTCTCAGTGGCAGCCACGCTGCAGGGCTTAGTGCTGCTTTGGATCTTTTACGGCCGCAGGCAAGTGTCCTTCCAGTCCGATGGCCTGACCTTCCATTTGCCGGACAAGTTGTTGTAACGGCATGCTGTGCGGTTCAGGCTGCCCTCGTGTTCGTTTGCCCCAATGCTGGGGAGACGGTGAAGAGTGTGGTACAGGAGCGATGCAGATTTGCCCGTGTCAGCTGCACCTGGCTCCGCGATTGCCACATGGGTGCACCATGCTATGTCACTCGTGTTCCTGGGCTCAGGATCTCCAGACAGCAGGGTGGTCGGGTGCAGATGCTCTTACACGCCTGTTCCGTGGCAGCACATTAGTTTGGATCCGATCGTCGTGCTACAGTACTTGCTCTACGGCGGCGTGAAGACGTCTCACAGAGTGGTTCCAAAGCCGGTCATTTGTGCTGGCAGTGTGTCCGGAGCACAACAAGACACGGCAAGGTAGCAGCGATGGTTTCAGGCAGCAGACAGCGGACCGTTGAATGCTGACCTCGTCTGCAGATTGCGCTTCCGTGCGACTGCCCAAATCACTTCATTCCGAGAGGAGAGTTCTCTCTATTCTCTGTTTAATTGCGATTTATACATTCTCTGCAAGCAGAATGCAGTATCACCAGGCGTGCACACCATCTGTAGCAAACCAGCCGATTTCAAAAGTCTAGAAGTTACTTTTTGCTTGCCTCCGATGATTCTCAACGCATTGTCGTTCTGACACGACGGTCGGCTGTGCTCGTGTGCTCCTGGATCCTAGCCCACTACATAAGATGGCATGCTCTGATAGGGGGGAAGAAGCAGGGATGGGAGCAGTGTGGTGCCCCGAAATCACGACTTTCCACTCTCCGCTGCACTCTTCCCTCGGAGCGAAGTCATGTCTGTCCCCACCACCAGTTGTTTCACAGAACTACATGTCGCATATCTCTCTGAACTTTAACCCACCTCCCTGTGTTGTGTGAGTGCCTGCGTGCAGGCATGCGCATACATGCATATAAACATATATATATATACATATATATATATATATATATAAATGTATATAAATAGACAAAAAAACAAATAAATTAATAACTAAATAATCCTTTCAGTTTGCGAGGGTCTGGATTGGGGGGCTTCTGGCAGCCGAAGATGGGAAGGTCTGGAATGGTCGACGGTACCAATTCAGACCCTGGTTGGGAGACCAATCTAGACCTTCGTCGTGTGGCAGCATGTTGTCACATGTTGTGCATGTTGCACTATCTTGTGGCAGGAGGCTGAGAAGGCACCTTTTGTTAAAAGGTAGAGACTGCCTTGTTCATTAGGTTTGTCAGTCAGTATCCTCCGACTTGGAGCCCGGGGTTTCTGAGCACACCAATTCTTGTCCCTTAATCACTCATACACTATCGTGTTGGCTTCGTCAGAAGTGTTGCAGGTAGCTTATTCATGTGCAAACAAACGCCCGGGACTCACACCGGCAGTCCGTATTGCCCCCCACCGACGACGGAATGTGAGAATGTTTGACATAGGTATGTGGCATTCCCTGATCCCTCCTAAACCCGTCAACATCCGATGCAAGGTCTGTGTAGGGCTAGGGTCTGGAAAGGGTCGCGTAACCCCTGGGCAGCCAACCATAACAGACCCCGGAAAAGGTCTGATATAGTGGTTGCCAATAGACCCCTCTACAAACTGAGGGGATAATATATATATATATATATATATATATATTAATATATATATATATATACATATATATATATATGTGGGTGTGTGCGTATGCGTGTGTGTATATATATATACATATATATATATATATACATATGCCTGTGTGCGTGAGTGACCGAGTGATTAGTCGCAGAGCGAGTACGTCACAGGGTGTGCGCCATGAAGTCGCTAATTATTTGCATGTTTTGGCCCAGATGCCAGCCACATCGCCCACGTGTACCATGAGGCCACCCCTAGTTCCCTCTTACTGTACCCAGTTCTACAAGCATGGTCATATCTCTCAACCCGTACCCCTTCATCAGCTTGACGAATTCAACTGAGAGAAAGAGTTGACCTGCGAGCGTCCCACAAGTTGAAGTGATACGTTTGACTGTCTCACAGACTGAAGTCGTATCTCTTTCTTGCTGTTGCAGGCTTGAAGCTGATGCTTGTTCTATCTCCAACTTTCTGAACTTTTTGGTTCCATGCCGTGGAGCCCGTGCTTGCCGTCTTCTTGTCTCTTGTGTTGGGTCTCTTGGTTCTTTGCCCTTGCATTGTGAATTGCTCTTGGCAAGACCAACATTCATGCGGCGAGATCTTACCAGCCTGGACAATGGGGCTGGGGGTCTCAAAAGCGGGGATTCTACGTGCTTGGCCCCAGCAGAGCAGGCAAAACCATGCCGGATTGACAGATGGGCGGAGCAGGGTTCATAAGCCCAATTACTTTTTCGATGCCTTATGCTCCAGCACCCGATAGGGGTTACTAGTATCCGTCACATGCAGCTTACAGCAGTAAGCCGAGGCTGTTTCCCGATTCGCGAACTGTGTCGGGGAAGGCTTCGAACCAGAGGGGCGAGGCAACGTGGCACAGCTAATGCTTCTCGCTCTGCACCGCTCTGTGCTTTGTCAGAGGGTTTGTGACTTCCAAGGCGAGGCTTTCGCACATGTTCGCACGAGGATGTTGTGTACACCGAGCTTGTTGTGCGGATTACATCACACTGGCTTCGAGCAAGTGCTGAATCCAACATGACTCACACGGTCTGGGTTAAAATATCAGGTTTGGAAAAAGGAGCACGACGGCATGCCTAGAGATTCTTGAGCAGTCACGGCTTGCTGAGCCTTCATGCGCTCCAGAATGTGGCTGTACCCATGTGCGACTACTGCGCAGTACACTGGGCGATGTTTCTGCTTCCTAAGCGCTTCGCTGTTCATTTTGCTGTACTTTAAGACACAGACACTGTCATTGGATTGACATGGACATGTGCGGACCGAGCATCAGCTGGAGTGCATGGAAAACGTGCCGAACAAGTTCAGATATCCACAGATGGATCGACGAGCACAAGAAGCGATGCGGCGCAAAGACTCGTCTTCACCGCGAAAGTTTTAAGCATGGTGATCGCCTGGTAGTAATCCAGGCGCTCAGGACAACTCCGCGAGTTGAGCATGTGCATGTGGCGTGCTCCGAGACGCTGATCAGGCGAAAGGTTGGAGAAGCGCCAACAGGCTTCTGGATGTTCGGGACACTACGAGGCATGCCTGCGCATGCCCGCATTTTCATTTGCCAAGTTCTCAGATTCACCTGAATGTTCGGAGGGTGTGGTGGAAGTGCTTGATCTAGCTAGTCTGATGGTAAAGGGAACCTCCACAGTGTGCTGCCTCCAATCCTACGTTCCGTTGGTGCTTGATCTGGAGAGCTTAGCCCTTTTTCCTCCTGAAAGAACTGACTGACAGAGAACTGTAGGATACTGTAGGATGACCACTCCAGGCGAGGCTACATCGATGAGGGCGACTTCTATCGTGAGGCAATGAGGAAAATCAAACAGAATGAACGGCTACTGAGAGTACGGCTACTGCGTATCTGCGCAGGGCTTACACGATTTTCATTTTTACACTGCCCTCGCTGTCGTTGAGGCTCCCATCTTCGTTAGTGCCGAGGCCAAAAACCGATGCCACTACTTGTATTTCCAGCTTGAAGTTCTGAAGCGAATCTGAGTTGTGCACAATATGGTTTTGTAGTATAAAGGATGATTAGGGATTAAGCAACAGAGTCGGAACAGGAGTCTGTTCGCGGACTGCACCTCGATGCCGTGGAGGCGCTGAGGATCAGGGTCGCCCATGCTGAGCTTCAGGATCAGGGTGTTCACGAGCGATACTGGAGGCCGTGTTCATCCTGGGGCTGCCAAAAAGCGGAGCATCTTACGTTCATATGGCCGGCACGTCAGAGAGAGTTTTTTTGCTGTCGGTTCCGGAATCGTGCTGAGGGCCGAAAGTCTGTTTGGCTCAAATGCCCGCGCAGGCTATGACTTGCCCTCGGACCCACAGTTATACAAACCGACGGCCTGATTTACAAAGCTTTCCGAGTCATCCAACAAGAGCGAAGCAGCGTGGCAGCGAATGTCACCCATTGTACGGAGTAGCAGATGACGAGGTAAGTCACATCGGCCTTTCTTGCATAGCCCCGGCAACCTGTAAACTGACCGTGATCCCATGCCCCTACGCATTGACCGTGCCGCGACATGGGTCCGGGACCCAGGTCAGGTTCAAGTCTGTCCCCTTTGGCAGATGACCTGAGGTTCGAAGCCATGCCTCTGCTCCTCAGCTCGAAGATTCAGTGTATACTCATGTCTTGCAGATAGTCTGCAGCTGACCTCCAAGGCATTGTTAGGGTCGACTTTGACTGTCCAGGCGAAGGCCAGGGATCGCTCTCTGTGACAGTCCCACGAACCTGACAAGTGAATTCTGATAGCAAACATTGAGCCTTCTCCCGTCCCACGTCAAGAACCAGCGGTCCTGCGAATCAGGGTCCATGGGGCCTGCGGGTTCAGGCCTGCATCGCGGGGCCCGCATATCAAAAGCTGGAGTAAGGAATGGGCGCACGATCATATTCTAGTCTTCCTGACTTGGTTCTCACTCTTCAGCCCTTTTGCAGTCGCAGCCATGCAGACTGCAACAAGTCGTGAGGGATCATAATTTAAGCATCATCGGCTGGAAGGCGACCGCGGAAGCTGCTGTGGCTCTGATGCCTTCTACCGGAACCCTGGCTCAGATTATTCTCCATTACCTGCAACAGATCAGTCAGAATGCGTTCACAAGCAAGATGTGACGGAACATATCGTAACAAGCACATGTTCACCTCCGTGTGTTGTCGCATATCAGGGACACATTCTTGGACGAGGATGCGGTTGGAGAGGCGGGGCACAGCATTCTCCACATTGTGCACTGGGACTCTTTGCAATGAATGTGTTTCTTCCTACAGTCAAAAGACCCGTGACTTCATCCCTGTAGACATGCAGCAATGCTTTCGGTGCAATCAACACGTCTTCATTGCTGTGCCGATGTGTGCATGCATGTCACTCGTTCAAATTGATGTTGCAGAACCGTTGAACACGAGCATCAACACAACTTTTGGTCCAAATCAAGTTTTCCGTCTTTTGTGGCAGCCATGCAATATGATGGAGAGTGCTCTTCACCCACTAGCGGCCTGGGAGAGGTGGGTACGCTGTACACAAACTGAACTACAGTCTTGATCCACCAACGACAAGAAGAAACGGCAGTTCGCCGATTCCAGCAAACTCAGCTTGACAGCCTTCAATGCCCAATCCGAGAAATCCAGCAAGAAACCAGTGAGACAAAGGAGACCTTAGCAGAGTTGCCACGGAAGTTTCAAGAGTTTTTAAGTATGGCGCATTGTTTCACACTACCTAGCAGTCAGCTGCCACCTACTCAGTTGGTAGCATCGCAGACTCGAGGATAAAACAGGTGCGGAAAAATAACTACAGCTTTAATGTGCTTGCATACAGTTATTGTTTGCCAGCAGTTTCCTGTATCGTTGCATATCATGTTTGCTTCAACAGCTCGTTTTTGTCTCAAACAGTAACATTGCCCCTCAGTGTCTTTGTCTCTCGTCATGACGTCCACGGAAGCCATCCGTATTTTGATCGAAGACATCACTGTGGAATCAAGAAATCAGCTATATCGGATTCTACTTGATCATAGCACGCCGTACACTTCGTGATGTGCTTGCGCGACAGATTGCAAGTTGACACACAAAGGACCACTGAACACCATCTTACCACATCAGTTTCCAGTTCGGGATCCACAAATCGATCCAGTGTTACCGCTACAGAGTCAGCACTGCTGAAGCGCAGTCTTACGTGGTCTCCAGTCGTTACTTTCATCGGCAATTCATCGTCATACGGAGATGTCGATCCCTCCGCTGGTCATGCAGATACCTCGGCAAATTCGTCGACGGCAGTCTATGCAACACAAGTACCTCCTCCTACTCCTCCTCCACCTGACCTTCTTCCTCGTCCTGCTGTTCCGTTCCGTCCTCCCCCTCCCGTTACCTTGTCTTTGACACCTGTTTCTTTTCCCCTTCCTCCTCCCCCTCTTGCTCCTCCTGGAGATGTTGGGTCAAACCCAACTACGCCGCATGTTGTAGCAAGTCTATCTGTTGCAGTTACAAAGAGTACCGCTACCGGAGTAACTCCGATGCAGAAGCAAGTGCCCAGGGTAAAGAACGGGATCTGTCCTAAGTACAGATGCCAGAAATGCTCTTTTAACAGTCAGCAGTTTGATGCGTCTTGCAAATTGCAGGTCAGTTCAATAGTTTACGCCATTTCCAGCATCATGCTTTGAAGCATGTTCCAAGGTTCGCAGTGATGAGTCATGTTTATTGATGCAAGGTGGTAGCTTGTTGCTCTCAAGGTAGTGCCCGTATTTCTATCAGTCATGGATCGACAAATGATGGATGACAATCGCTGGTCGCATGTTACACAGTGCTCTACTGCACAATGTTGGAACTCCTAGGCACATCTGGGATGTTTGTTCTTAATCGGCGATTACGATTTACAGATTGCCCCATCAGGTGTCATCGAACATGTGAGTCATGCAAAGGTCGATGCTGTTTCCACAGTGGTTCCATTTCACGAGAGGAAAGACGTCAGCATTACGGACCCCAGCAATGCTTCCTTCACGACAATGCCGCCTACAACCACCTGTAACTAACAACCAATGTTAGTAGATTTGCAGCGTGCACCGGAAAAACAAGAGTGACCTAATACTGTTTTGTCATTGCAATTTCCTAGTAACGTGTGTCACTACAAGCTCATGGTGCTCAGATGATTGTTGTTCTCAGCAGCTTTGTATCAAACAGAAGTGGTGACCATCCGCAGCAATTAAACATGTCGTGGAGCCAGCGCGATGGTAACAACTGGTGGGGTGGGGGATGGAACAACAATTCCTGGGACTGTCATTGGAGTAACAAAAACAGTGATCAAAAGCAACCTGCCATGCCAAAACGAAAGAAGCCATCCGGCGACATTGAGGAACTTGCTTCGCCGCAGGGATACAAACAGCAGGACTTTCCATTTATTCTTCAGCAAAAGACAGGATATCATGATGCACAAGAAGTGTATGGTCTCAAGTTCCCGGCGAAAATATTGCCTACTATGTGGGCTGCGGCAACACAGCACCCCTTCGCCGGTCGTGATATCAGAGATGTGGGCCTGCGCAAAGTATGTTGTCGTGAACTCGACAATTACCACATTCGTTCATGTGCCAACGGGCGGTACCTCAACGTGATCTTTGCACGTAGCATCAAAGGGAGTGTCCTCATTCAGTCCTTACTAAGAGCCACTATGGATATTGACCAGTTGGCAGCAGCCTACTGCAGTTCAAGGAAGAGATCATGCTGCTAACCATATGCAGGTCTTTTGTCCTGTTCTGCACCATCATGTTCTTAAAGCGACTTCTGGTGACCCTGACCCGTACAACAAACGTAATATGACCCCCAGTGCAGCACGAAGTCATTTGATCAAGGTTGCTGCAGTAACAGCAAATGGCTGAAGAAGTACAAATGGGGTATTCGATCACATGCTGAAGTTCCCACATCCCACATCCTGATCAAGGCCAAAATGAAGTTTCTTGGAACTCCCCCCATCATCAACTGCAGATCATTCCCTCTTGCACGCTTGTTCTGTTGCACTGCCTTTGTACTGATGGCAATGATGAAAGATGTCTTTCTCGACTCCTTTGGCAACGAAGCCATGCCCAAGATGTTCAACATACTTCAGCGATTCCGTCAGAAGACTCATCTTAAACATCATTTGATTCGGTAAAATCAAGATCTTGTTGGATTCTTCACTTCCGTTCCAGCTGAACGTACTGAGGGTCCAGTTCGTTTGATGATTGAGCGCTACAAAACTTTGCGCCATAACAGTGATGATATGGTGTTCACTGTCTTTCCGAGGGAAAAGGTTGTCAAACTGCGCATGTTCCCAAACGTGCTTTCTGTGGACGGGCCTTTCATACTCATCTCAAAGACATCCTGAGAGTTTGCGACCCTAATTTAGAGAACTACCCATATATATATATATATGTTCGCACAGATGCAGCAAGTTTGCCAGCGGAGGCTCGCCGCAGCGCCGTTGGCACCAGTTTTTTCCGGTGTTGGCTGACATCGCCATCAAGTGTATCGAACAACAGTGGTTGGAAAGTCTTCAAGCAATCTTACGTCGATGCAGTGATCAGTTCTTTGTCTGTCGCTACGTTGACAATCGGTTGGTAGTATTTCCGGAACAGATCACGCATCAGTCCTGGCTACTGAAACTGTGTGAACTGGATTTCTATCAGAAGCCTGTGGAGCTTGAAGGGGTTGAATCTGGTGAGTTTTGTGGCACAATCCTGCATCCTGCTGAGCATCGGCTTGCTTTTACCATTCCGAAAGAGCAGCGCCAGTTCCAACCTATGAATTCTGCAGGAAGTAAAAGCCACAAGATGCCGGCATTTAACAGCAGAATTTGTCTGGCATCTCGATGCTCCTATCCGCGATCCCAACAAGAACAGAATATCGAGTCAATCTGCATGCAGCATCTTGAGAGAGGATATCCTAAGCTCAAGCTTGCGCGGATACAGAAGAATTTGTTGAATGAGTTTGTGGTGTTGTGACACAGCTGCCACAGTTCGTGAGCCATGTGTGGACTTACGCCAATTATTGCTACCCCTGAACTAGGGCAGCTGTGTGTGTACCACCCTGGAGGTAAGGGATACAACAAATCATGCAGCGGGGGGACAGGAGCTGATTTGCCTATCCTGTCCAACGAAGCTATGGCAAATCAATGGAAGCACTTGGCGGGGATATGTGTGTACAGTGGGCCGCACAATATCACACCCGCAATGCTGTTGTTTCTGCAGTGGCCGATGATGAGGATTTCTGAAGAGTCTGTGCTGAGAGTCTGAGCCGAATGCAGAGTCGGATATGATTTACTATGATCGAAGAAGTGCAAATGAAGAAATGAGAAGATGGTTCTAGCTTGCTAACCCGACATATGACTTCAGTCATATCATGGGTCAATCCAAGTGTCTGTCTGTCTGTCTGTCTGCCTGCCTGGCTGTCTGCATGCGTGCTCGTGCGTAGACTTCTGATACAATCACCCGCACCGCACTTATTGACATGTGGACGTTGGTGTGTTGCACTGACATGACCACCCTGCCCACGGATTCATGAGAAGTTTCGGCAAGGAGAGCATCTCCAACTTTGCATGGGAGCAAGCCCGTCTGAAGTCACTGAAAGGCCGCTGTTGTTCGCCAAGTGAGACAATGGAAGGTGAGAGTTTAAGCAGCACGAAGTTCGGTCCTATTCGACAGGGCAGGTTTTCTTGGACTACACCAAATTCTCGGCTGCGCAGGCTGCCTCCGCTACCTGGCTGCAAAGCACCTCCCTTTCACAGCCTTCGACTTATCCGACACTTGAGCGAGGCCTTCAAGCGCCGCCTCTCTGGAGCGCTTCCGGAGCCTTTCCCCCACAAGGCCAAGAGCGACGCGCGAAAGCGGCAGGGGGCGGATTTGCACTGCCTGTAATGTGAAGAGGAATGTTGTGAGAGACGCAATTGTTTCTGGTAGGATGCTGCTGCACCCTTTAGTGATGGATCGACCAGCCCGGTCAGCAGCATGGTGGCATGTTTGATGTGGATGTGATTATCCAGTCAGGCAGGTGTATCTCAGAGAGGCATGTGCGCATAAAATGCATGCACACATGCATGCCAGCATAGAGGTATTCCTGCCCACACCACCTAATCCGTTCCCCCCCTGGTATGGTGTATACCATATACATCCTCCGGCCGGGATGTTTTCGATCTGGCGGCCACAAGTTGAAACAAAGGAAAACATCGAAAGTGGCACGGAGTACAGTGGGAGACGGTTCAAGTCAAATTGTAGACGCCAGTCAAGTCTGTGCATTTCCTGAACAAAAGTTCGACTCTGAGGTCCTTTCAGTCGTACTTTTTCCGACTGGACCCGAAGCTCGGACTGGCTTGGGAAGACAATGAAGGTAGCTTTGCTGCAAGTAGACCTTGAAAGGGCTGCTGCTCTGTAACAGGATGGTGATTGGACTGCCAAATGAAGAACAGGCAAATTTTGCTGGAGGGCTTGTCGGTTCAGCAGCAAGGAATGGAAGAAAGATGGTTTGCCGCCGAACAGCGAGCCGTACTGGAAGAAGGGCGATGGCGCAGGGTTAGAGGCCTCAATGGATGAAGCCGACAAGCACCTCTAGAGCATGAAGCTGGTGTCAGCCACTTCCGACTATGAAGGTCCGCTGTGGGAGCGATTACAAGAACAAGCGTCAGCATATGACTACATCTGCTGGCCACATGATTCTAAGCTGCACCAGGAAGGTGATGCTCCTGAACCGTTCACTCTTTCTGGCTTGTGGTCGCCTGGGGGATGGAGAGGATTGATAAACCTTCACCCCTGCTGGCCAACATGCTTGCACCCGAACTTGCTTGCAGGAGGCATCAGGGGACCGTCTCGGCAGACAGACACATGGGCTGCGTCTCTCCAGTTTCTTGCTCGAGGTTCCAAACCTTGGCAGCTCAGGTATCACACGCTGACGGTGGATTCCATTCGCTCTTCAGTGCCGCTTCACAGTATCGTCGGCAGCGTCGTGTTAGCCCCAGAGTCGCGAGTAGTGTGATTTTAATAATTGCACATATGTGGCCGCCGACCTTGCAACAGGTCACTTCATTGCCACCGACTTCACCAAAGAGTGAATGGCGAGTCTCAGCACAACAAAGGTGCGCATTACTCTTCAGTATATGCCTCACAGGAAGTATTGAGCCAGAGCGCAAATAGCCTAAAGGTACTCCGGCTGCGCCTGGTAGACCTGGCGGGCTGCCGTAAGCTATTTCAACCGTCGGCATATATTCCTGTCCACGTTATGGTTAATCATTATTAATGTACTGTAATTTCAGTTTGCACTCTCTCTCGCTCTCACGCTCTCGCTCCAGTGCGTCGTCCGTCTCCCCGTCATTGGTTCCTTGTGCTTGAAATCTCGTGTCTCAGCATGCGGGTGTTCCGTGCATCCGCATCTTTTCTTGTTGCTTGTCTTTGCATGTGACTGGAAGCATGAATTGCTCCATTCCGGATTGCAAGGATCTTCACTTGCGAATGCAAGGGCATGCAAGGGTTAGATTTTCCGCGATGCTGCTGGGCTTCAGGTTTCGGCTGCCCGCTGCCCAGGATTCTTTGCATCAACGCGGCTCTTTCAAATTGGTGCAAGATTTCTTGGTGACCGTGCTGTGGGCACGGTAGCATGCTTTTCCCCACGTGGAAGCTGCGCACAGAGACATGCCGAGCTTGAAGGTCATGCTGCCGCATTACAACCCAAAGAATCCCTGGGCCAAAGATGAAGGTGGGTGCAGTAGCTTGGCAGGGTGTGAGAGATGCGGGACAACGATTCGGGTCGCCGCCCGCCCGTGTAGAAACCATTCGAAACCGTTTCACCGTGCAATGCTTCTGCTCAAGCGCTTGAAGGATGCTGCTTTTTCAGGGGTGTGCGCCCCCGCTTTGTTTTGGAACAGAAAGAACAAAGAAGCTTTTTGAATCTCAGGCTATGTTGGATTCTTCGAGATCACTAACGAGACGGCGGGGCGCTCATTCATGCTCTCTTAGACCAAGCGGTCTGCAATCGCCGAATCGCGACCTTCGACGAGCAAACTTACAGGTTTTTGAGGGTTTCGCGATTTGGCATATGGTGCCTACTCTGGACCTTTGCGGGTACATGCTTGCGTGCTGCTGTTTGAGAGACTTTTGTCTCGAAATCGAGGTGGCGCAGGTTAATAGTTCTGCGCCGCCAGCATGTGCGACTTGTTTGCATGTTTGGGGGAAGGCACCCGAGGAGGTCGTAGCAGTGGCAGCGGCAGCGTCGTAGAGATGTCATGTCGCAGCTTCTTGTAGTCAACACTTCGAAGTTCGAAGGCCCGCCTATGGCGATGGCCCACTCATGTGCTTCGCGTGCTTGGGAAGCCTTTCCTGCCGAAGGTACGGATGTTCCGCAAATTCTGCGAAGGCACATCATGCAACTCCCGAGTGTTCATGTGATCTCCTTTTGGGCTTGCCATGCAAAGAGAGTCAAGTCAGCAATGGGGCACAACAAGCTACAGTTGGAGAGACAGAGAGAGAGCGCGAGGGGGGGCTTACCACCTCCCTCCCCTGGCCTGGTAAACAGAGAGAGAGAGAGAGAGGGGGGAAGGCCCTCGCGTTGTTAGGGTGTTTTCTGGTTGTGGCACAATGCGGGGGATCAGCTCTTGTCATTGCATAGTCGTCCGGGCCTCAGTTCTGCAGTGTGCTGTTGTTTCTTTCGTGCCGTAGACAGAACCCTTGCAACTGACGTGGGAGCAGCACCGTGACCCTTTTTGTTTCGGGGGAACCAGGACTCAGCTTGTGGTGGCAAACCGTAGTTCACGTATGATAGCTCTCTAGGGCTCCATGTATGCGCTGTGCCTTTGTTTCCATACGCATCGCCACCACTCTGTTCTGACAGCTCCGAATGGTGCACAGGGGAACGTTAGAGTAGGATGGAGTGCACCCGAACAACCCGCATTTTCCTGTACTTCACTTTTGCTGTGGCTGACGCGGGGGACGAGAGCCTGTCGTGACGTTTCAATTTTTGACATGCGGGGGATTGCAGAGTGCTGCTGTTGCTTTCGTACCATAGACAGAGCCCTCGAAACCGACGTGGGAGCTGCACCATGGCCTCCAACTCGGGGGAGATCAGGACTCAGCTTGTGGTGACGAACCGTGATTCACACATGTTAGCTCTCTAGGGCTCCGTATGTGCGCTGTGCCCTTGTTTTAATACCCATCGCCGCCACAGAGTCTTGAAGAGCTCGGAACGGTGTCCAAGGGAAGTGTGTTATGCTGACTAATGCGGGGGACTAGCGGCTGTGCATGTTGTGGTCACTCCTGTGTTGTTGTAAACTCCTTTGCAAGTCGGCGTAACTGTTCCTATGCATGTGTCTACAGTGAGTGTACGATCGTCAACTCTTTCAGCGAATAGATGTATGGCTTTAGCTTTTGACGTTCTACACTCTTTTCTCACACCCCTGC